GCAGTGAATTTACGGAAGGACAATTACATGTTTTTTTAAATTTTTTATAAAGAGTATTCGCGGCCTTTCGAGGAATCCAACCGAGGGAATCGTAACCGGTCAGTATTTCCAACTTGGGACGCGAACTCGGCCGGATTCATATCGCGAATCGCGCACCCACAATGTCCCGCGATCTTTTAAACATTGACACTCTACGGATTAGACAATCGAGATCCACGTATGTTTCCAGAATTTTTTAACCCAAGTAGCGATTATCGATACACAAACGACACATCGATGAAATGATTCTGTTCGAAGTATCTTTTGCATATTCTTCCTTTCATCTTCAATACGGAAACTCTCGGAAATATTACGAAGAGTTACAAAACAGTGGAGTCAATTAGAGTCTCTAATTATATTCATTCTCTTGTAACTCTTCGCAACATTTCTGCAACTTTCCATTTCGAAGAAAAAAAGAAAGAACATGCAACACATACTTCGAACAAAATCACTTCATTAACGTGTCATTTGCGCACTGATGATCGCTGCATGGATTGAAAAATTCTGGACACGTACGTGGATCTCAATTATCTGATCCGTCGAGTGTCAATGTTTAAAAAAATCGCGAAATTTCGTAGATGCGCGGAGGTGAATCGCGGCCGCCACGCAGCTCGTTGATCAGCTTATCATTTATAATTAATATCCTAAGAGAAAGTGTGCTGAAGAAAGGAAAATTTCCATTTACATTCGAAACTTTCCTTTTCAATCTTTCTTTATCATTTCGGTTTTCTTCAGCACACACACACGCATGCACGCACACACATACTGTCTCTCTCTCTCATGCTCATCTTCGCCATCTTAATAAATCGTAGATATGTAAATCGCTTTCAATATACGTATTGCTTCGTCATCAGGTATTGCCTATGTCTAACAATGATGGGACTCGGCACGTCAACATACGGAGCAAACTTTCGCGAGCAAAAAATCAGTCCACTCTCCTGACACTTTATATTTCAACACAGCTGAATTTATATCCTGCGTATAACTACGATAGCGTCGTCCATGTCGAAGCAGTTCTCGAGATTCAGAGCAACGGCGTGCGTGCAGCAAGAATTTCACAGTCCAACGTTGCCGTTCGGCATCAAACAACATCCGTAATTTTTACGAAATTTCTTAATGCCTGGCGGCCTTTCGAGGAATCGAACCGGAGGAATCGTAACCGGTCAGTATTTCCAACTTGGGACGCGAACTCGGCCGGATTCATATCGCGAGTCGCGCGCTTATTCACGATTGAAACATGCAACGAGAGCGAAAATTCAGTCGATATTTCCAGCTTGTGGGAATGCTCTCCCGAGAGCATTCCTGCAAAAACCGCAAGGGATTAAGAAATTTTGTAAAAATTACGAATGTTGTTGGATACCAGGCGGCAATATTGGACGGCGAAATCCACGCAGCACGCATATCGTTGCTCTATTTCCCGAGAGCCATTTCAACACAACGCTATCGTAGTTACGCGCTGGATATAAATTCGGCTAAGTTGAAGTGTAAATTGCCGAGGCAGTGGATTGATCTTTTATTCGCGAAAATTTGCCCTGCGAATCGAGCGTTGGCTCGCGCCGAGTCTGCAACAATTTACTAAATTACAGAATGCCCAAGGTTAGGAATGCGCGACGAGAGACTGGCGTCGCGAGAGGAATATTACGCGAAAAGGTTTCAAGAGGCCCAACGGGGGCGTGGAGCGCAAGCGAAACACAATGTGCGGATCGCGGCGAGAATCGTTCGCGCTTCATCATTACCCAGGACAGTTTGTTTCGCCTGCGTCCACGCACCCCGTCGGATCTCTTCAAATCTTTTCCCATACATTTCGAGGAGATTCACGCATACGTGATCGTGCACGGCTCCGGTATTAACGGAAATCGATCGACAACGGAATCAGTGAGTATAGCCTTCCGTCAACAACAGTTCTGTCAGTTCTTTGCATTCGCGTTGCACGAGGAATGGAAATATTAAATTATGGTTCTCAAGTACGCGTGTTCCTCTTATCCTTCTCACGCAATATCACAAGTATATGTTCATCCTTTCTCGTACACACGTTCGCGAATTTATTTTTAGCAGTATTACCGAGCGGTCAGTTTTGTTAGATAAAGAATTTTGCACAGTTAAGGCCAAGAAAGGTACAAAAGATGGATAAGATACATGTTTAGATTAGACAAATATCTAATCGAATCTATGTTTGTTATCCATCTTTTGTCCTTTTCTTCCTTTTAACTGTGGAAGATTATAGAGAGGGATAAGAGAACACGCGTACTTGAGAATAGCAATTCAATATTTCTATTGTGCGTGCAAACCGAAAGCAAAGAACTGACAAAATCGTTGTGTGACGGGAGGCTATACCCGCCGATTCTGTTGTCGATCGATTTTAATACCGGAGTCGTGCACGAGCGCGTGTGCGTGAATCTCCTCGTAAATGTATGCGGATCTCCATTATATGTATTCCCATTATATGTATAATGCTCTAATATATACAGAAATAAATCTCTTTCATCTTTTCTTTCTTTCTTTCTTTCTTTCTTTCATTCATCGTTAAATTCCTGAACTCTGAGGTAGTCTGTTATGGATGTCCTATTACGTAGTAAAAATGGCAAGAGAGCTATATTAATAACGCAATATAACTTATCGTCTTTTCTCTTTTTTTTTGTTCTCTCCTTTCTTTCTTTTTCTTTCATTGGCAGCGTCGCGTCTTTCTGTTATACGGCGGAGAGATCGTGTTTGCCTCTCTCGCCCCTGGCATCGTTTTCGTATACCGTGCAAGCAAATGTCAATCGGACGTAGCGCGAAATTTGATTGCACTCTCCGAGGCAAATCGACGAGAATCGACGAAGAAACGAGCAAATGTAGCTTCGAGGTGCGCGCAGCTCGTTACACGGTACACGATATATACGCAGACAAGTTACACACGTGTGAACACGTGTTTGCGCGCGTACGCGGGTACGCGGTGCGGAGGACACGGTGAATAAACGATGATCCCGGCCCCGGTAACGAAGTTTGCGCCGCGTTTATGCGTAATTATTTCCGTTAATCACGCCGTTTAATCGATCGGCGAATCAACCTTAAGCAATAATTTGACGAACGTGCGAACCTGGCCGTTTCGGCCGTTCAATCGGTCAGCGGAAATAGTTATCCATAAACGCGTCCTCTCCATCTTTCTGCTTTCCTTTCTATCATTTTTGTTTGTATTGCAAAACTTGGAATCCTTTCGGAATTTTTTTCTTTTTTTTCTTTTTCACGCTCAGAATGAAAGAAATTAGGCGAATTCGACAGGATTCGTAACGCCAGCACACGTCAAAAACGAGAAGAGAATGTTGCCACGTGCACGGCTAAACATGCATAAATTAAAATGAATGAATGAAATGAATAAAAGAGAAAATTGAATTCAATTTTTTTTTCTAAAGTTTACTATCTTATAATTCTCGTTTATTAATTTCATTTCATTCGTCCATTTTACTTTACCATATTAATCGTATATTAATCGTACAAACAAAAATGACAAAAAAAAAAAA